CCTCCCCCTCCAGGTCAGAGGTAGGAACAGGGAAGGTGAGCAGTACACCTCACACGGAGTGTGGGCCCCAAGGATTTCCGTTTGATCTATGCCACAACCCAGGTGTTTTTGTCCTTATCTTAAAGATGAGATCTGAAACTCAGGGGTCCCTGGGGGTGGTTCCTGGCCGAGAACCCAGAAGGCTTCCCAGCAGGGGAAAGAATTACAGGGACACACAGAGTCATGTCCCCAGTGATCTGGCAGGACCTCTTCCTGGAGCAATCAAATTTCAGTGTGACTAACAGTCACATCTTTCAGCCAGACTTGGCTGAGTCATCCTTCCTGCTTGACTGCCCTTCATTGATATCAGCTTCAAATGTCACCTCTTTAGAGGGGGCGTGTTTGCCACCCCACTGATAAGACACTGCCTCCCTGCCTCTCCTCTCCTTATTGTGCCCCCTTTCTCTCCATGGGGTCCCCAAAGTGCCAATCCGCAGCTGTTGTCTGTGCATACCAAGTTAATACAGAAATGGAGAGTACGTGTTTAGAAATATACAGAGCAGTTTTTCTAACAATTCACTTTAATTCTATTTTATGAAAGTATTGGTCCACAACAGATTGGAAACATTAAAAAGTGACTCCTCACCACGAATCATTTGAGAGATGCTGCTCAAGGCACTTACTGCCACCGACAGCTATACCTGTTCGCTCGTGTTTGTTGTTTATCATCTGTCTGCCCCGCTACCCTGCCCACCCTACATGGCGAGGATCCTGCTGCCTAGAACAGTGCCTGGCACATGTGCTGTGCGTGCTAAGTAGCTTCAGCCCTGTCCAACTCTTTCCGACCCCACGGACCGTAGTCCACCAGGCTTCTCTGTCCATGGGATTCTCCAGGCAAGAATACTGGAGTGGGCTGCCATGCCCTCCTTCAGGGAATCCTTCCAACCCAGGGATTGGATGCTCAGTCCACATCTGCTGAATGCATGAGCAAGTGAGTGAATGCAGGAATCAACCTCTGGTAGATCCCCTAGCTCCCTGGTCACTTTCATTTATCGAAAAGCAATCCAATCCTGTTGAAAACACCCAACTCATATGTATTTCATATCTTTTCTTCTCCTCCCTCCTCCACTCAGAGCAGGCATGACCCTCTGCTGGAGGGACGTGCAGGGGAAGAGCCCTCTAGAAAGCCTCTAGAAAGGAGGGGGGAGTGTGGTACCCCTCCCCCACCGGGGTCAGGAGGGCAGGGAGGGTGGCCCCTTCTGGCCTGAGGAGCCTCATGGCCACCGCCTTGGCTGGAGGGTTGGCTGCTCCCACAGGGGGCCTGGTGGGCATCGCCCCAAGAAGCCTCAGCTCTGCCCTCATCCTCTCCCGGGCCAGCCTCCCGGCCCTGCTCCTCCTCCCCGCCTCTCCTTCCTCCCTTCTGTCCTCCCAGGCTGGAGGAAACCGGTGGGCCTCCCCGTGCTTCTCTTTCCCAGCCCTCCACTCCACGCTCCCCAGCTGGCACACAGCTCAGCCAACTGCCAGCCTTCCGGCACCTCCCAGCCAGAGCAAGGGAGCCTCTCTGCTCCCGGGGACATGGGCCTGGGTGCTGCAGCAGTTGACAGGGTTGCCAACTGGGGAGCAACTGTCGGTCCCTCCTCCTCAGACACTTCAGGACTCCCAACCTGCCTCCTTGGGGGAGCACCCTGTCCTTCCCCAGAGAGGGGAGAAAATCCCATCACCGTGAGGGGCCCGCAGAACTGACCACTGAGCTCGCCTGCCCCCCAGCCTTCCTTTCCTTCTACAGATGGGGGCGGGTTTGGAATGCTGAGTGCCAGGTGCCTGGTGCCTGGTGCTGGCAGAGGGCAACTTCTCCTTGTCTCATCAGCCTTGAGAACGGTCTCCGCTCTTTGGTGGCTCCATTTAGGATGTGGGGCACTTGGCACCTCTCTATCCCCAGTTTGGGGAATGTGGCCATTGGAAGTGTCCCGCACCATCCTGACACATCCTCTTATACTGGGTGTCATGTTGAGAGGTGCTTTATAGGTGATGGGGTGGGAGGGGGATGCCGAGAGGTTCAAATAGGGGGATGGCCAGATGGGCTAGGGAGCTCCCTTCAGAGATGGGCTAGGGGTCGGGGGGAGGTGAGACAGGAGGAAGTGGGGGTGGCTAAGAGTGAAAGCCGTGCAGGCCAAGAGGGGAACCTCATCTGTGCCTCCCCCCATCCAGGAGTCAGGGTAGCAGTGGGTGTGGGGGCCAGGGAAGATCCTGACGACAGTCTGACTGCTCTTCTTCCCTCTCTCACTGCACCCCTGCTCCCCCCTACTCGCTGTCCCCTCTCCCTCGCCGACTCCCCTCCCCTCACTCCGCCCCAAGGTGAAGGTCTGGTTCCAGAACCGCCGCACCAAGCAGAAGAAAGACCAGAGCAGAGACCTGGAGAAGCGGGCGTCCTCCTCGGCGTCCAAGGCCTTCGCCACCTCCAATATCCTGCGGCTGCTGGAGCACGGCCGGCTGCTGTCCGTGCCCAGGGCCCCCAGCCTCCTGGCGCTGACCCCCGGCCCACCGGGCCTGCCTGCCGGCCACAGGGGCACCTCCTTGGGTGACCCCAGGAACTCCTCCCCGCACCTCAGCCCGCTGACCTCGGCCTCGGCCTCGCCCCCACTGCCGCCCCCTCCGCCGGCGCTCTGCTTTTCCACCGCCCCGCTCCTGGACCTGCCTGCTGGCTACGAACTGGGCTCCTCGGCCTTCGAGCCCTACAGCCGGCTGGATCGGAGAGTGGGCAGCCCCGGCGGTGGTGGCAAGAAGGCCAACGCTTAAGTCTCCACCCCCCGCGTGACACTGAGTCCCCAAACACAGCACCACCCCTGCCTCGTGGGCCCAGAGGCAGAAGGGGCAGCCGCCCGCCCTGCCCCGTCCGCCCACCTCCAGCTCAGAGACTGTCCAGTGGCCGGCGCTGGTCCACAGCGGGTGTGTGTGTGAGTGCAGTGTGTGTGTGTATCTCACTGAAATAAAAGGAAAACAATGACAAGAAGGGAAATCGAGTCCCCACAGCACGCCACTGCCTCCGTCCCCTCTCCTGCCCCTCCAAGGGAAGGAATCAGGCTACTGGTCTCCCTGACGGGCATGTTCACAGACGGGGAATCTGGTACCCACCTGACTCCTGCTACCAATTCAAGCTCCCACCTAGGTGTTTCACCTCCCATGGTAGCACCGTCCATGCCTTTGTTGGTACGTGTTGCCCTTTGCAAGCTTCTCGTTCAAACGTGTACTCTAGAGGTGGAATGTCAAGTCCTTGGAGAGGGTGATCATCGAAAGATCAGACGAGGATCCAGAAAGCCAGAGAGAGGGCATCACAGGTAAACCCAGGCAGGATCCCACATGCTTTAGAGGACCCGCGCATCACAAACACCCCAACTTGAAGCACTTCAAAATTTTTTTCTTGTTTAAATAAGACAGTTTTGTTTAACCTTTTAAATTTTGCAGTAATTGTAGACTTACAAGGAGTTGCAAAGATAGTCCAGAGAAATCTATGTACCCTACACCCAGTTTCTCCCAGTGGTTGCATCTTCCATTACCGCAGAGTAGTATCAAAACTGGGAAATTGACATTGATTGTGTGTGTGTGTGTGTGTGTGTGTGTGTGTGTGTGTGTAGTTTCATGTCACTTTTTCATCTGTGTAAGATTCGTGAAACTACCACCACAAATATGATATACAGCTGTTGACCACCTCAGAGATCTACTGCAGTGCTGCCCGTCAAAGTCACACCCACACCCCACCCCAACTCAAGAGAGTTCTTTGAAAGACTAGGAAGTGTGAGAGGGACCAGGAACCTGAAATTCGTTCCCCAGTCCTAGGATGCAGGGTGAGATGTTGCCTCTGAGGAAGAAAAGGCAAGCAAGCGCAGTCAGCTCCAGTCTCTCTGGGAAGTGTATTTGGTTTCAGGTTGACTGCCCTGAGTCACCCAGAGAGGGATGCTGGGAGACAGGGAGCCCTAGCTGTGCTTCCCCGTTCCCACGGTGGGGCACTGTGGTTTGGGAAGGTGCTTAGAGGTGCCAGGAAATCCTGAGTCTGGAAGGAGATATGCGGGTCACAGGAGCAGCTACCCCCTAGGGCCAGTGGTGCCTTGCCCAGCAGACCTGTACTCATTCTCCCCGAGGCAACCATCACCCCAGGGGACAATTTCTTTAGTCAGCATGAAGAAGGACCCTTCATTTGTACTTTCTGCCTTGGGCTGAAAAATTCAAGGCAAACCTGCTGCCTAGGCCCCTGGAGGTGAAATACAAGGTGAGACAATGTGATCAGAGGGAGAGGTGAGCTGGTCCTCAGGGAACCCTCAGTATTATGAGACAGAAAGGCTTATGAAGACACAAGTCTGATGAGCAACACAGGCTGAGCTCCTAGGGGCTCACAGCCCCAGGTGGCAATGAGACAACTCCCCAAAACGGCATGACATAGGAAAGAGATCAGATGTGTGGTGAATCCACAGTGCTGGAGGATCCAGGGAAGGCTTCCTGTAGGAGGTCGCCCTGAAGCTGGCCCAAGAATGATCCTCTATAGATGTTCAAACAAAGATGATGGTGGAATTTTGCAGGAGGAAGAGGGACCCAGAAGTACTCAGGGCATGGGGCAGGGAGAGGTTATTTTGGGAAGTCAGAAGACCTGAGGAGATGGCAGGCTGCTGGAAATGGGCTTTGGGAGGTGGGGGGCGGGGTGGGGGTGAGCCCAGAAGGAGATGTGAGGGGCTTAGGTTGTAGCAGCACCTGAGGTTCCGGGGGAAGGCGTTGAGTTCCAACCAGCTGCAGGGCTGGGTCAGGAGCGTAGGCACAGACTGACGGAGGTGGGAGAAGCCCGCCTCCTGCCCCTCCCAGATCTGGAAGGGCTGCGAGCCAAAGGGCCAGGTTTCCCTGTTTACAGTCAACCCCTGGAGGGGAGGGTTGAAGGAGGGGCGGTTGCCGGAGGAGGCCGGCCGGCTCTCTCCAGCTCCAGCTCGGCCCGAGTTGTGGGAGGCTCAGGCACTCCGCTCCCAGCCCGCCACCTCGCCATGGCCGCGGAAGTAGACAGTAGGCCCAGGGGTCTCCCCGGCGGAGGCGCGAGGTTGGGCGCCGCCCGAGAACACGTGCAGGCGGTCACCCGAAACTACATCACCCACCCCCGCGTCAGTGAGTATGACCCCCAGCCGGTGTGGTCGGGTGGACTGCTGCGTCCTCAGGCCCTGCTCCTTAGCCTTGGGGTCAGAGGAGGACCCAGACCTGGGGAGACCTTAGGGGCCTTGGGTCCTGGGGAGTGGCCCGGGCGGGGGGACGGAAGTCTCCAGCGCAGGGTACGCCAGAGGAGCGGCAGCGGAGGAGCTGCAGGAACCCTCCTGTGATCAGTGACCCTCCACTGAGACCCCAAGTCCACAGAGAGCTCCCAACTGCCCCCAAGGGCATGCGTGTGCGCCCCTGTGTGAATGTGTTTGGGGTGTGCTCCTATGCGCCCCCAGAATACTCAGCATGAGGAATTGTGTAATCAAGTGCCCTGGGGTGTGTGTGCATTCTCGGGATGGGGAACATGGGACCGGGTGTGTGTCCTGCCGTGGCGTGTGCCTTCTGGGGAAGGGGTGTGCCTGGGGGGGGGGTGCTCCCATCTCCACTTGGGGGTATATGTGTGTGAATATGGATGTGATAGCTTGAGAGTGTGTACCATCAGAAAGGAAATGTGTGAGACAATGTGTGCATGCAGTGCGTACAGTCAGGTGAGGGTGTGTGAGCCAGCACGCGGGCTCACAGGGAGAACACGGATGACTGGTCAGACGACGTCACACGTCTGTGTGTGAGGGCTAGAAGGGCCAGTGCCTGGCACCCAGGTGTCGGGTGTGGGGGCTGTGGGTGCTGGGTAGACCCTTGTGAGCTTCTAAGCGGGGCTGGGGGTGGCTCAGGTGCCTGTTCTGCAGGCGTGGGCCAAGTCTGGATGTCTGGGGCCACAAACCTGGTGAGGCCCCAGGGCCAAAGCCTGCACCACCCCCGCCCCTCATGTTTCCTTGTCCAAGGTCATGTTCCCTGGTCTGGTATGGCAAATTCCCGAATTCTCAAGACACCCAGCTCACTGGAGTAAACCGGCCTGGCCGGCATCAGCTAAGCAGAACCAGAGGCTCCCAAGAGGGTGTGTATGGGGGGACTCTGGCCTAACACTGCAGCCATTGGCCAGCCCCACCGGGGGCAGGCAGGGTGCACAGAGGGGCAGCTGAGAGTTTGGGGTGCAGCACACCCCCACCATGGAGAGTGGAGAGCGGAGCAGAATGACCAGGCCCAGGGCTCGGGGGGCAGCTCCGGGTGGGGGCAATTGCTGAGGCCCTTGGGGGACACTGAGGGGCGTGGAGAACCCCAGCCAAGGAAAAACTGAGTGGGCTCAGATTTATCAAGGAGGTGCTATGGGGGACCAGGGAAGATGTAGGTCCAGATTCTCCCCTAGGGCAAAGCTAGGGTCACCAAGGCCCAGAAATGTGCAGTGACTAGGCTCCCCTTGGGTCCAGAGCCCAGACCTGGAGACATGAGCAGAGTGGGTTGACCTTTGTCCAGGCCCTGTGACGGCCTCCCCCTCCCCCTGTGAGAATTCGAGAGCTGCCTGGGTGCTGAGGAGGGGTGGGTCTGAGGTCTGTCTCCCTTTCCTCCTTCCTGGAATGTGCCCTCCCAGGGTGCAACCTTACCCCAGGATCCCCTCCCGCCAGTCCCCTCCCAGCCGGCTTCTGTACAGTCAACAAGCCCTGGCACAACGGGCAACACCCAGGGGGTTTGACCCCGGGCTGGAAACCCAGGCCGCAGCAACCCCCTGATCTGCGCCATGGGGCCCCTACCCAGGCGACTGTGTTCACACCCAACAGCTGACCCAGAGTCACGGGTCAGCGCGGGGTGAGCCCCTCGCTCCATGCCTGCGTTAAAGATGTTGTTGCGATGACAAAGGCCATTCCTGCGCCTCTGCCACACACCAGTGTCCTCCCAGCACCAACCCAGGGGCCCTGGCCGGTCGGCAGCCGCACCTGAGGGAGGCTGGATTCCTCAGCGTGCTTCTGCAGTTTCCTCCAACTCGCCCCTCCTCCTCAGAAGCCTGGAGGGTTTTTTCTCCCTGGGGGTTTGGACTCCTGGGTCCCTGTCTGTCCTCCTCCCCCTATCCGGGACTCTAAGCACTCCAGGCAAGAAGAGGTCCAGGGGGCGGGGCAGCTGGTTCCCCGCCCCCCAGCTCTCTTGACCATGGGTGGGGATGAGTCCAGGGGAAGACTTCCTGGAGGAGGAGGTGGACCAAACAGGCCTGAGGCATCCAAAGTGATTTCTCTGCAGTGGCTGAGGGAGGGGAATGGGTCAGAAAGGAGAGTGGGGTGGAATCAGGATGGGGAGGGGCCCTGGCAGTATCCATCCTGGGAAGGAAGGGACCCGTTTGCCTTCCTTGGAGCTAGAGCTGTAGTGCACCGAGAGAGGTGACCTGGGGCTGTAGCTGGCTGTGTAGGGCAGAAGGTGGTAAGGCAATGGGTCGGAGCTCACAGCCTGGGCAAAGGTTAGGATGAACCGGCTGGCAGGAGGGCGGGAGCCAGGTCAGATCGCCTAGGGACTTTGCCAAACCGCTGGCCGCCTTGGTTTCCTCAACCAAAGGGCAGGGGAGGTGACAGAGAGAGTTCCACTGCTCAGGGTCTTGGGCTGATTGTAAAAACCCTCCTAACCCCTGCCTGCCCTCCCCTAATCCCTCCAGCGGGGATCAGGGAGGAGGTGCAGGACCTGCTGCCCTGGGCTTGCCCCCACCTTGGCCTCACGCATGGGCGCCCGCCTGAGCCCGCTCCCAGGACGCTGCAGGTGTGGCAGGCCAGCCCTAATTAGCGGAGCCCTGCTGAGCCTTTGACGGGGAAGGCGGTGGGGAGGTGGGGGCAGGCAGGGGCCCGCAGCCCCGAGAACAACCCGAAGTGTCAGCTAGGACAATGGAGAGGGGATAGGCAGAGCAGCTGGAGGGAGTGTCTGCAAAGTCTCTGGAGGCCTGTGCCCCTCAGGGGTCTCCTCGTCCAACCCCTGCCTCCAGCAGCACCTCCGGGGTCAGGGGCGCGCCCCAGGCCTGGGGTAGGAGCTCTAAGGCTGGAGCATCACCAGACACTTTCCTGATTTGTGGTGGGCCCTGGGAGAAATCAGTTGATTTCCTGGGCCTCAGTTTGCCACTCCATGCAATGGACACAGTCAGAGTTGGGAGTGGCTGCAGACAAAAGGCCTGGCTTCCAATCAAGGACACCTTTGTTGCACAAACCAGAAAGGGTCTAAGAAAAGACATTGTCTGGTCCGACAGAGGAGACACCCTTAGTTTGAGGGGAGAGACATGATCTGCCTCAAGTAACAGACAAATTGGAAATCAGGATACTCTCCTGAGTGCCAGCTGTGGGGTTTCAGAGGGAAAGGACCTGGTCAGTCAAGGGGCCTTGAAGGAAGCCAGCAGCCAGAGGCTGAATGAAAATGGCCATATAACTGGATTATCTGCAATGAATAGTCCAGGCTATGCCATATGAAAGTCGCTCAGACGTGTCTGACTCTTTGTGACCCCATGGAATTCTCCAGGCCAGAATTCTGGAGTAGGTAGCTGTTCCCTTCTCCAGGGGGTCTTCCCAACCCAGGAATCAAACCCAGGGCTCCCCCATTACAGGCAGATTCTTTACCAGCTGAGCCACCTAGGAAGCCCAAGAATACTGGAGTGCGTAGCCTATCCCTTCTCCAGGGGATCTTCCCTGGCCCAAGCATTGAACCGGGGTCTCCTGCATTGCAAGTGAATTCTTTACTAGCTGAGCCACTAGGGATGTCCCCAGCGCTGTATTCAGCCAGCAGTGAGAGCCCAGCTCCAGGCCTGCCAGAAGCCTGGGAAGGGAGCTTGTGGATGGGGCTGTGATGAGCTGAAACTTCGAGACATGCTGCGTGGAATTGAGAAGTGCGGATGGAGCTCCCAGCCCTGCTGCAGGCAGGCACTTTGCCTGGCTCCCGCAGACCCACACCCAGATTTGTGACCGTCACCTCCCGAATGTAGAGTTGTTGGATATCACCAAGTTGTGAAATTGGGGGGAGCCAGCTATGAACAAAGGGAGGAAGTTGAAAGACTCATTTCCACCCCCCCTCCTCCCCGGTGGAGTTAGAAATGATTCCCTGGGGATTTCTGGACCTGGTGGGGGGCACCCTTCCTCTCCTGCACCCCCACCTCCCTGCACCCCCCCACCCCCCCTGCATCTTTCTTCTGGCTAGTCTTGGTATTTTCTCCACAGGCCAGTAAGATGCCAGCGCTTCCCTGGAAATGCAGGGAAGCATTCCCTGCATTCCCTGCCCCATGCTCCCTCCCCTGTCCTCGAAGTCCCCCACCTTCCCTCTGCTGGGCTCCCCAGCCCTCTCCACTCCACACAGTCCTGGTAATCCAGAGGATGTGGGCAAAATGCCACTCGGCCAGGAAGGGCGTGTGTGGCTGTTGGGTGATTTTCTTGGTGGGGAGGGTGATGCCACAGCCTCTGTCCCCGCCCTCCAGAGGCCGGGTCTTCCTGCGCCTTTGCAGGCACCCCTGCCATTACAAGTCCTCTCACAGGGAAGGTGAGCCTGGCCGGGCAGCCACCATGTCCTTCTTTGTTTCCCACAGGCCTGAGTTCCTTCTCCGGGCCTCAGGACCGCCCCACCTGGGCCAGCTGTGCCCTTCGTCCAGCCCTCTGGGGGCTGCCTGGATGACCCCGTTTGACCTTGGAGCCTCAGCTCAAACGGCTCTTCCTGCAAGCTGCCTCCTCCAGCCCATTCCCACCCACCCTTCTCTTTCCGTTTGCAGCAGTTGGCAATTATTTCCTCTTGGCGTTGTGCTTAGTTAGTTATGGGTCGTGTCGGACTCTTTGCAACCTGTCAGGCTCCTCTGTCCATGGGATTCTCCAGGCAAGAACACTGGAGTGGGTTGCCATACCCACTCGGGGAAGACCCCCAACCCAGGGATCGAACCCAGGTCTTCTGCATTGCAGGGGGATTCTTTACCATCTGAGCCACGTTGGCCCTGTTTAAATTGTAGGCTCCATGTTTTATTTGCCTCCTTTATTTGCATAGCCTGGTACTGAGAAGGCCTCTGATGGTCAGGCTTGAAGGGAGAGAGGGAGGGAAGTGGAGCTTGGAGGGCAGATGTGAGAGGTCGGAGCCAGGTAACCATCTTGAGGTCTCAGCATCCAAAGGTTTGAAAATAGGCTGAGGAGTAACTGGAGGGGGTCGGAGGAGGTCTGGAGGGGGAGATTAAGGCAGGGCCTCCAGGGAGCTGCTGCGGGGCGGGGGACACGTCCAGGCTGTCGTCCCTTCCAGGGCAGAGCCACACTGGAGCGCGAGGTGCGGGGTGCCTCCACGAAGCCACATCCCATTCGTCCTCTCCGATGGCAGGCTTGTGGGAGGCTGGGCTATGATCATCGCAGGATTGGGGCAGAGGGCATGGTTTTAAGAGGGAAGATACCAGAGCTTGCTTGATGGGAAGGCCACGGAGAGAGGGAGTGCTGGCCGGGGACTGGCCTGGTGCCACCGGGGTGGGCCTGGCTAAGATGGAAGATGGGAAAAGGAGAAGAGGATGGTTCAGGTGGGTGGTGGTTTGAGGGCAGGAAGGTGAGGAGTGCCCTGGCTCTGGGCCCAAGTCCAAGAAGAACTTCTCTTTCTTGAGTTTTCCTAATTGCTCAGGAGAACCAGGCAAACATCTGTGCAGAGATCCCCTTGCCCACTTGGTCTTCCTAGCCCAAGTCCCCTGGGAAAGGAACTTAGATCTCACAGAAATAAGGGGTTGAGCACTGAGCCTTAGACCATGGAGGGGGTGGGCTGGGGCATTTAGCTTCACCTGGTGGGGCAGCTGGGCAGCCAGCTCGCTGGAACCATGAGAGCAGGTGGCTGGGAGCCATGTGGTCTGATGGGAAGCACGAGGTGTCGCAGCCCCTGCTCTGCCACAAAAGTCCGTGACCCTGGGAAGGCTTCCCACTCCTCTGGGCCCCATCCTCCTGGCCTGTTGAGAAGAGGGCTGGACCCCTTTCCCACTGGAGGCCCTTCCAGCCTGGGAAGTGACCTAGCGACCTCGAAGACACCCCCGACCATCCTGCCCTACCAGATTCCTTCCTCCCAGTTGTCTCATTGGCACTTTGAAAGGAGCCTGGGGAAGGGATACCATGTCCCCAGGTTATAGGCAAGGAAGGGACTCAGGGGCCCTTAGCTAACCCCTCACAGAACCAAGCAAGCTTCCTGCCAGCCAGGTCATGCTTCCCCGGTTGGGGTCCCCAGAACTGGAGCTCGGAAATATTTCGTGATGTCCTGCCCAATCCTTCCGTGTGAGCCAAGCTCACGTCCCGTTTCGGGTCTCTCCAGCCACCAGCATGGGGAGTGTCTGCTCCCTCCGCCTCTGTGGTTCGGCTCTCTCCCCTCCCCCACAGGCACCCAATGAACCCGGCCTCAAGGAGGGGCAGGGCCCTGCTGGCCTTTCTCACGGATGCCTGGACCCCCCACCCCACTCACGCACAGAGTGCGCAGTCAGTGTGGGTGATGGAGAGGAGTGTGGTCCTGCCAGGGCTGGGGCAGGGGGTAGAGAGGGCAGCTCTTTTGGAATCTCCAGCGTTTGGAAATGCTGTGGGTCAGAGAGGAGGGAGTGGGTGAGTGCGGGCTGAGGCCAGCACAGCCTCAGGGGTGAGAAAGACCTCTGGCTGGCTTCGGAGGGAGGGAGGCCTCTGCCCTCGCCCTGGCCCTCCCCCAGCCTCCTGCAGGTGTCCGAGTCGGCGGGGCCTGTGGCCAGGGGCCTGACCCTTACAGCAATGCTGGCTGGCCCTGTCACAGCTAATGATCCTGACGGCCGGGCCCCGAGAGGGTGGGGGTGGTGTTAGAGGGAGGGAAGGCGGAGGATGCTTCTGAGTGTGTGAGTCTGTCAGTATGAGACCCTCACCCACCTCCACCCTTCCCGCAGCCTACAGGACTGTGTGCAGTGTAAATGGGCCCCTGGTGGTGCTGGACCAGGTCAAGGTAAGATTTCCATCTCTTCCCAGGGACAGTTAAATCTTAGCGCTCACTGCCCCTGCGCTGATTTCTTCTAAATTGCCCTGCCCTTGGGGGTCTCCCAGGCTCCCACCCCATTCTTCCTAATCCCCCCACCCTCAGTCACCCAAGGTTTCCTCCTCCCACCTTTTCTGTGGGCCCCACCCTGGCCTTTAAGAGACCTGCTCCTACCAGCCATCAGCAGGGCCTACTGGGCTATCACACCTCTTTCTTCATCAGTAGAAAGGCTGTATCTCACTTCTCCCAGGGCAGGAATCTCCCACCAGGAGCTCAGGGATTTTTTTTTTAAAGGGAAGAGGAGGAGGTGGCAGGCAGATGGATAGCAGCTAACTTTTCTCCAGACCTGGAGGTTTTCAAAGGTCTTTGGAATACCTCAGCCTGGGAGCCAGCAGCTGGAGTGGGAAGTGAAGTATGCCTCACGGAGGAGGGTGTGGGCGATTTGGTGTCCCTGGGAACTGCAGAACCATGGCAGACACTGGAAGGATTCTGAGTTCGAGGCTGGGGATTCTCGAGACACAAAGAGCCCTGCAAAGCTCCCAGGTCACTCTGCTTCCCCCCCACTGTTAGTTTCACCCCTGTCTCCCTCCCCATGTCACCCACACCCAAACTGGATCTGGGTGCCATCCTTGATCTGTTCTTAACTTTGTGTGCTGTCTTGCCAGCAGCATCCATTGAGGCATTTGGTCACCAACTGGCCACACGTGGTGACCAAATCTTCTCCCTAACCCCCACAGCTGGACTTGGATGGTGTTTATGAATCCCAAGCTCCCCGAGCCGCACATTGCACTTTTACTGAACACCCAGCCCATCATGCATGCTCAGTTTGTTCAAAGGAAGGGTGAGTGAATGAATGAATGAATTTAAGAGCATGACTGATTATGGGCCTGTCAAAATCTGGCCCTCTCAAAAAGATCAGGCCCACTCATTTCTGGAAAACAGATTCTGAGCTCATACGGATATCACAGTTGGGCCCATTAGTGTCGGGGATGTCCTGGAATGAAGGGATGGAGTCAGACAGTGTGACTCAGACCTCTTGAATTCTAATCCCAGATCATCCCACCCTTTCTATTAACTACCTGTCAATTCTAGATAAGCAGCAGCAGCACCACCTGGGACCTTGTTAGAAATACAGATTCTAGGGCCCTACCCCAGACTGACAGAAACTCTGAGGGTGGGGCCCAGAAGCCTTTTTTCATTGCCATCCAGGTGATCTGATGTTCCCCAAAGTTTGAGAACCGTTTGTCTAGGATTGTAAACCCGTTTCCTCATCCATTAACTGACAATAGGGCTGTTGTGGGGATCAAATCAGATAAATATATTGTTATTAATCCTCCTCAAGAACAGCTAGGATATGCTGATATGCCGGATTAAATAGTCAGTGAATCTCCTGCTCCCTTGCTGACCTCCATCACACTCCCTACCTGTCAGTCTCTGTAGGACGCTGCGTGGTAAGGAGAGTCAGTGTCCATACAGACATCCAATTGTCAACTGTAAATTGGGGCTGGACTAGGAAACTGGAGATAGATCCCAGGCTATGATCCCGAGATTCCTGGACGCATCTGTAACTCTTGCAGAACATAGTAACTGGGTGATGGAGAGACTCAGAGAACCCTGGGCTTGCAGACGGAAGGAAAGGAACCAGCAGCTGATAGCCTCATAAGTGCAGGAGATGGAGAAGGCACATTTATGCATCTCTCTCCACTGTCTCACATCCCTTGTTCTAGGGTTGCCTGGGCAAAAATGCCATAATTCTGTCTCTATAGCGCCACCTTCTGCCCAAATTGAATCACACAGGCAATAACGCTTTCTGCTTCCCTCTTCCTCAAAAGGAAAAATAGCTGGTGGGAAGAATTGTGTAGGTCAGAAGTTCGTAGAAATTCCCTGGTGGTCCAGTGGTTAGGATACAGTGCTTTCACTGCAGGGATCCAGCTTCGACCTTTGGTCAGGGAATTAAGATTCCGCTTGGCCAAAAATAAATACGAAGTTCTTAGCCAGGTACTAAGAGCTTGGAGATTGTATGCAAACTTTTTTTTTTTTAAGAAAAAAAAAAAAACCCAGGAATTTTATTCAAGCCCAACTGAGGCTTATAGCCCAGGAAGCAGATTTTCAGAAAGCTATGAGAACTGGCCCACCTGTTAGAAATTTAAGGCATAGTCACACACATTTTAAGACAAAAGATCGTACATCAAAAAGACATCTTGGTATTTTACATAAAGGTCACCAAAGATACATAGTCCAGGTAAGCATACACAAAGTGAGCAGCAAGTCATCATGACCCCTTACAGAGCTGAGAAAGAACATTATTATTTTTTTTTTAGTTGTAGCAATCATTCTAGTTTTTTTAATTAATTTATTTATTTATTTTACTTTACAACATTGTATTGGTTTTGCCATACATTGGTTTGAATCCGCCATGGGTGTACATGTGTTCCCCATCCTGAACCCCCCTCCCACCTCCTTCCCCATCCCATCCGTCTGGGTCATCCCAGTGCACCAGCCCCGAGTATCCTGTATCATGCATCGAACCTGGACTGGTGTGATTCATTTCACATATGATAATTTACATGTTTCAATGCCATTCTCCCATATCATCCTGCCCTCACCCTCTCCCACAGAGTCCAAATGACTGTTCAATACATCTGTGTCTCTCTTCCTGTCTCGCATACAGGGTTATCATTACCATCTTTCTAAATTCCATATATATGCATTAGTATACTGTATTGGTGTTTTTCTTTCTGGCTTACTTCACTCTGTATAATAGGCTCCAGTTTCATCCACCTCATTAGAACTGGTTCAAATGTATTCTTTTTAATAGCTGAGTAATATTTCATTGTGTATATGTACCACGGCTTTCTTATCCATTCATCTGCTGGACATCTAGGTTGCTTCCATGTCCTGGCTATTATAAACAATGCTGCGATGAACATTGGGGTACACGTGTCTCTTTCAGATCTGGTTTCCTCGGTGTGTATGCCCAGGGGTGGGATTGCTGGGTCACATGGCAGTTCTACTTCCAGTTTTTTAAGGAATCTCCACACTGTACTCCACAGTGACTGTACTAGTTTGCATTCCCACCAACAGTGTAAGAGGGTTCCCTTTTCTCCACACCCTCTCCAGCATTTATTGCTTGTAGACTTTTGGATAGCAGCCATTCTGACTGGCATGTAATGGTACCTCATTGTGGTTTTGATTTGTATGCAAACCTTTTAAGAAAATAGTCATATGCCTGTGCATTGAAGGGGAGGGAGATAGTTTCCACAGTTTAATCTGATTTTCTAGGGTCTGTGACCCAGAAAAGGCTACACCTCTGCTTTGTCAAGTATAAAATGGACTCTTCTAGATTCTTGAGTAGCCACACTCCAAGACCTGATCTCACAAAAGCACACTCATACACTCACACACGTACCTGCACACACAAGTGCACAGGTTCTGCAAGCATTAAACAGGAGTCTGAATATCTCACATCCACCTGCCTGGGATACGTTAGAGAGATTTCACTAGAGCAGTGGTTTCTGAGTCAGCAGCCTGGGTTGAGACCGAAGAATGTGCATTCCTGAGATGTCCCCAGTGGCTACTGCTGCCTGGAGACCCAGACCACACTTAGAACTGCTGCTCTGGAGGATCTTCAGCTCCTATATTTTGTGTTTCCAACTGGCCCTTATTTGAGACTCACCTTATCTACCAGACTTGGTTCCAGATGTCTGTGGTGGCTCCCAAACTTCAGGGAAAAAGCTTGTGTGTATCAGCTCAGACAACAGTCTCCAAGGAGGAGTCCCCACACTGCCCTGGGTGCTGTCAGGGGCAGAGGTCTGGGAGGCAGCACACCCTGTACACATCCTGCCAGGCTTGCTAAGAACTTTCCAGGCCCCTGTGCCCGCCCCCTGGCTGGCTGGGATCCAGGTTGAATCTGCAGCTAAGGAGGAGGGTTGCACTGAACTGTCCACACTCCCTGCAATCCTCTTAGTAAGGAAGAGTGAGAACTGAGAGAATCAGGCCTGTGGGTGGGAATCAGGGTAGAAATACAAGCTCACTGCTGCACACCCTGCTCTAAGTGGCTAAGCCTACCCCTCCCAGCAAATAAATAACTGGCTTTCTCTTCCTAAAGGATTCTGGACAGTACGCTCCATGCCTGCCCCGTGCTTCTGACCGTTCTTCCTTCTGTCTGGCTGTAAACTTCCTGCCGTTTAAAGTTCCTTTTCTCTGATGTTTCATCTTTCAGGGACACTCCGTGTGCCAGCTCCAGTCCCCTCTCCCTCACACACAAAAAAACGGTGGGTTTTATCACCCAGCTGCCTGTCTTCTCTTGGGTCCACTGCGTGACTGCCTTGGGGCCCACTCGGGCCGGGGCTCCGTCCAGTGGTTTTCCTCCTGGGAGCGGGAGAGGGGAAGGAGCCGGGACCGCACCTCACCGGTTTGCCGGCCCCCAGCCCGCTGCTCCTTGCTCTCGGGCTCCCCCTTGTGGCTGCGAAGCCAAAGCCGGTCCCCTCGCGGACCTCTTGGAGCGCGCTCCCTCTCTCAGGGTTCCCACTCCGCGGGATCTGAGGGTGCCCGAGGCGGGAACAAGATCGCCTTCCTGGCATGCTCTTCACGGGACAAGGAGGGGCCCGAGCCAGGGCTACTGTCAGAGCTGGGAAGCCTCCGGTCCCAGGTTCCACCCCAGCAGCGGTGCCCTGGGAAAGGGGACCCCGTCTTGCTCACACCCCTTTGGGGGAACTGAGCCGTCCACCCCTCTTCCCTGGCCCTTACGGTCACTAGCTTGTGGACAGCAGGGAATATAACGATAGTAATGATGGTGACAACCACATCACTGTACTTGAATATGTCTCCATTTTTTTTTTTCTTTCTATTTTTTGGCCTCACGGGGCACCTCCCAGATCTTAGTTCCCCGGCTAGAGATGGAACCCCCACCGCGTGCAGTGAAGGGACGTCCCCCCAACTTTTTTTTTTTTAGATTTTAATTACGTGCA